AAAGGAGGAAAACTATTCACCTAACTGAGTATCCCTCTTGCAACATTTTCACATTTCCACGTTTTTTGTCATTAAGAAGTGGTGAAAGAAAATTTTAAAAAAAAACCTTTTCAACCATAGCAAAACTTTGAAATTGAGTCCTTTCTAAGATTACATCTTAAACGAGATGAAGAAAATTGGATGTTTGTTACAAAAACTAGTAAAACAAAGCCTTAATTTAAAAAAAACTTTTTCCAACCGTTTTTACTTATATGTAAACAAACATTTTTCGTTTCCACAAAAATAAATTTAGAAAATTTTGGGAGCAAAAAATTTTATATATTTAGAACAGTTTCACGTCGAGCCATTTTTTTTTTTTTTTGCTATATATTTTTCAAAAACCAGAGGTTAAGGAAAACATGTGAATTTTTCAATTTTTCTTTATTAAAATTCTAAAAACATTATTTGAAAATATATATATATATAAACAAAACTTTTCTTTTTTAAATTCAAACCCTCTGATAAAATTAATTTATTTGAGAGAGAAAGAAAGAGAGAGAGGAAAAAAAATTAAATTTTGTTATTTTAATTAATTTCTTTATTATTATTATTATTAATATTAAATCGTGATAATTAAATTATTATTTTTTCATCATTTTGTACATAAATAAAATTACTCATTAATATTATTTGAATTTATCAAACTATTGGAGAAAAAAAATTGATAATCTTACGTTAAATTTTCACTTTGACCTTAATCACGTGATGTCATTTACAAAAAAAAAAAAATTTCTTTTATTCCTAAACAATTTTTTTTTTTAAATTTTTATATGAGAAATAATAAATGTAAACGGAGAAATTGTTTTCCCCCCCTCCTCCTCCCTCTCCCTTTTAAATAATTTTCTTTAAATATGGTGGGAAAGTTTTTGTATGGAAGTTTTAGTTTATTTTCCGCGGAAAATGAATCTGCAATTAAGTTTTTTTTACTTTAAACCAAACTCGTCGACAAACTCATTTGTTTTTCGATAATTAGTAAACTTTCTTACTTAAAATACTTTTCCAAGTTTTCTTAAAACTATTTTTTAATTTTTTCTTCTTATTCTTCTTATTTCAGAAGAGTTTAAAAAAAAAAAAATTGTAAAATTCTTTAAACCTCGAATAAGGTTCGTCGTAGGTGAAAAAATAAATAAACAAAATAAAAT